TCGACCCTTTCGCAGGGTATCTCAGGGTTAGATGTACTATACGGAGTACTCCGTACATACAATTTTATAATCTGGAGTGCTGGAGACCCCAGTTCCTGCTCGTCATTGGCTCTCCGCATGTCATCATTTTTTATCATCCACTCTGTTTAGCTCGTCATCCCGAGATAGACCAAATCAGAAGCCAGTAGAATTCCCCAAATTCCCCATGTTCTGATAAGAAATTCTCCAGAGGCGCGATAGCCGGATAGGGACACGCACCTCACGCCACACGGTTCTTCAGTGAAAATGCGAGTCTCCACATTTTTGCTTTATGCAGTTACGTAGTTTCTTGATGTCTTTCTTGTTGGAAATTTTCTTTCGTTAACATGCTAGAGTGATAGACACCTTTATATTTAAATACTCATTAGTCAATTCAGTCTATATATAATATATATTGCAACTATATAAGGTTGATCGGTGTACATACCTCCACCCGAGTAAGGGTACGTCTCTTCCCTTTTTTTCTCTTTTTTTTTAATTTTCCATAATTTCCCCTTTTGGAATTTCCAATTTTTGAATTTTTTCAAAATTTCCCACTTTTCCTGTTTTGCCCCAGTGTCCCCTTCTTCTCCCCCACACTTGGCCTTCCAACCTTGAGAATCTTAGCAAATTTTTATTTTTTATTTTATTTTCTATTTTTTATTTCAATTTCAATTTCTTTTTGCTTTTTAAACTTGAATTTTTTTCAGAATTTTCTTTTCTCCAAGTCCGATTCCGACACTGCCCCTTCTCCCCCGATTATTCCCTTCCCCCTCCATTCCCTATATTATCTGTGACTCCCCAGATCGTCGTCTCCAGGTTCCTTTTCTCCCTTCTTTCCCTCTTGCCTTGTTCCTCTCCACAAACTCTACTCGACTACCTGTTTTACAACCGAAGCGAGCTATCTGAATTGTCTGCGCATCACTCCGATCCCGATCGACCTTCTATCCCAATCCGGGTGTGTTGATCGACCTTAGCTCCGGACCCCTGCGACAAAACCGTCCTCGGTCCTCCTTTCAGAACGAACCTCGATAAATCCGCACCAGGGAATTCACATGCCACCGCCGGCTTCTTCAGTGGGATTTTCAAATCTACTTAATCCCCACGACACCTCGCCCGACTCGACACCCTCGACTCCAGGCGATTCTTCAATGGCTTCTTCAGTTAGCTTGTTACCGCCTCTCATGAAGGGTGCGCGCCCCGCGACCGAGGAGGTCCGCCAGGATCTGCCCCGGCCGTACAAGTGTCCTCTTTGCGACCGTGCCTTCCACCGCCTGGAGCACCAGACGAGGCACATCCGCACGCACACTGGCGAGAAGCCACACGCCTGCCAGTTCCCCGGTTGTACGAAGCGCTTCAGTCGCTCGGATGAACTCACTCGCCACTCGCGCATTCACAACAACCCTAACTCGCGCCGCAGTAATAAGGCTCAGCATTTGGCAGCGGCCGCGGCCGCTGCAGGCCAGGACACTGGAATGGTAAACGCTGCCAACATGATGCCACCTCCCAGCAAGCCTATCACTCGCTCCGCTCCAGTCTCGCAGGTGGGATCTCCAGATGTTTCGCCTCCTCACTCCTTCTCCAACTACGCCAACCACATGCGCTCAAACTTGGGTCCCTACTCCCGCACCACTGAGCGTGCTTCCTCTGGAATGGATATCAACCTCCTGGCTACAGCTGCGTCACAAGTAGAGCGTGACGATCACATGGGCTTCCACGGCTCACGAGGACACCAGATGTTTAGCTCCCGCCATCACGGCACTAGCCGTGGCCTTCCTTCGCTCTCCGCGTACGCGATTTCGCAGAACATGACCCGTTCGCATTCCAACGATGACGATGACGGCTACGGCCACCGCGTCAAGCGCTCTCGTCCTAACTCCCCTAACTCCACCGCTCCTTCTTCTCCTACTTTCTCTCACGATTCTCTGTCCCCTACTCCCGACCACACTCCCCTGGCTACCCCTGCACACTCACCCCGTCTGCGCCCTCTCGGTGCCAGCGAGTTGCATCTGCCTTCGATTCGTCACCTGTCCCTCCAGCACACTCCCGCGCTGGCTCCTATGGAGCCCCAACCAGAAGGCCCCAATTATTACAGCCCGAATCAGGGTCACATGGGCCCAACCATTTCCGATATCATGTCCAAACCAGACGGCACGCAGCGCAAGTTGCCAGTTCCCCAGATTCCCAAGGTTGCAGTGCAGGACATGCTCAACCCGGCGGCCGGCTTTTCCTCCATGAACTCGTCAGCCAACAACTCCGTCGCTGGCGGTGACTTGGCAGAGCGGTTCTAACTTCTTTGCAACCTCTTTATGCCTTGAAAACTTATGTTATGCGCGCCACGAAACGATATAGACTTGTGCATTTTTACTCTGGCTTGCGGGCATCAACGGTGTCGGATTGGTTTTGATTTTTCTTATCTCTGGCGCTTCCACCAAATAGACGGATTGGGATTCTTTTTTTTTCTGACCTTTGGCTGTTCACTCCTCTCTGGAGACTTTTCCTTTTCGAGTTCAAAATTCCGTGTCGAAAGACCTGCTTCTACTTTTTTATGTCATTCTCCTCTCTTGAGGCCTGTGGTCTCATTCACTTCTGATCAATCCCTGTTCCTTTACTTCTCTTCTCTTACTTAATTCCTCACACTGTGAGCAAATGAAAAATTTTCACCCTCAATTTTTATCTATATTAGAGATCTAGTCTGATCTGCATGTGACATCTCCCCGCAATCTGTATATTCGCCTTGGTTTAGCAGCATGGTTGAATCGGCGCACCTACAGCATATGCTGTATACCATAAATAGCTTATGGTCCTAGTATATGTCTTTGAGATATCGAATCTGAAACAACGTTGCAGCTCTTATTCCACACATCTAAGAATAGATCAACAAAAAGATATTCACATGTGAAATGAAAGTGCTTTGTCTAGAACACGCCCAACGATCTAGATTCCTATTTACGACCCTGCCGTGTGTGAAGAATGCGTTTTGTACTGACGTAGGCCGAAGCCCTGAGAGAAGTCTTACTCCACAAACGGACGTATATCGAGGTTGTCATTTTAATTAAACCTGCTTCACCAAGTTGAGACTATGCACATGTGTTTAATTTACAATTCTATACAGCTGAACAAATACTATTTCCGAGTATAATTAGAGTAAAAGTGCCATATCCGACGAAAACCTGTAGATAACCGTGCCCGCGCATTGTATCCCAGACCTTGCATCCTCAACAAAGAGAACGTAAAAGAAAATATACATAATTCTGGTTTATAAGATATAGTATAGTCCATCTAAGTCCCTTATAACCCAACTAGTCCCAAGTGCCCCGCCCTAAGATTTAGGGAAAATTCCAAAAGTCCTTAAGCACCCCCCACTTCAGCCCATTCAGAGATGGCATAGCCTTGCCTACATCGTATGCGCAGAAAACGGCTCATAGATGTCATGCATGCTGACAAAAGTGCAGATCTGAAGGTGTCCTGTTGATCTGATATCGGAACCTTTGGTATGTATTTCCCGCTCTATCCCGTTCCCCTCATCCGTATTACTTCCCTCTCTTCCTTTCCTCCTGTCCATACCTATACCTCTACCAAGTGCTACTACTATTGCTATGTAAGCCCCGGTAACCAGACTCTGACGTGATCCAGCCGTATCCATCCCGCGCAAGGTATCCCCATCTTTTGCATAGCGGAGCATGTCGGAGCGCAAGCCCCAAAGCCCCGATGACCCTCACCGAGGCGATTTCGATCGGCCTCTCGTTTCACGCGCGAATAGAGACCGACATAGAGATCGAGATCATCGCCGATCGTCTTCCGCCCGCAGTGTCAGTATCAGCGTGAGTTCGACCGCCAGCAACAGCACGGCTTCAAGTAGGAACCCCGCCGTGTCGCAAAAGCAGCCCAACAAGCAAAAGCACCCGAGTGTCGTCGTCACCGCCATGTCCTCTTCGCCCGCCATGCCGGGCTTGTCTAGCGCATTGCCGTCGCCGTCAATATCATCAGTTGATACCAGGGCCGGGACCGGCGTGGAATCCGCACATGGAGATAGCAGCACAGATGGAATCTACGTTCTCAGTGACATGACACCGTTAATCACGACCGACAGCGCTCCAGAGCCCGATTTATCGCGCGCTTCGCTCTCGTCCTGGGACACCACCGCAGCAGCCTCTATATCATCTGCGACACCATCAATACCCGTAGCCCTAACAGCCAGCATAGAGCAGCGCACATACGCATGTCTCTTCCACATGCTGGACTGCCACGAGTCCTTCGACGGCGGCGCAGAGTGGCGCACTCACGTCTTCAGCCACTTTCGCTCGCACCCGACGCCGCCCTCAGCGCGATGTCCGTTGTGTCCCAATACAAAGTTTGTCGATGGCATCTCGGAGCCCGTGTCGTCGCCTGTTCTCGAGGATGGCGAGTCGATCCGCTCTATTGACGACGCTGTTCGAGCCCCGCTGAGAGACTTCCCCTCTGCATGGGATCGTATGCTCGACCACGTCGCTGCGGACCACTATTGTCTTGGCCAGACCCTTGCTGGGAGTCGGCCGGATTTTGAGCTTATGCGATATCTCTATGGGATGCGGGTTATCACGGATGCACAGTTTAAGGCTATGCAGTTGCCGCCTGCACCGTCGAGTCCGGCTTATCACCGCTCACAGGATGGTGTTAGGGCTAGTATTGGTTCTGCTGATGAGCCGTACTGTGCGCCGTATAGTAAAAGGCGGGAGGAGAGGATGAGGGGGCAGCAGAGGGGTGTCGGGGTTTTGTAGATATAGACACTTTCTGCTGGCTTCTGGTTCGAGGTTTTGGTTTTTTTGTCTTTGGATATTCCCCCTTTCGCTTCTGTATAGCATGTACTTTTCTTGGGACCTTTAGAACTGCAAGTGTACTTTTCCCTCCATAGAGTATCTGTGTTTCTTCTGAGAAAATAATATCAAAAGCCAAAATGTATAGATCAGCCCCGAGCAAACAGCACAAACTCACCGCCCTTGATGACGGCCTTTGCGACCTCGATCTTCCATCGCGATGATCCAAAGAAACAGAATGAGAACATCCACATCAAATTCCTGAATCTCTCTGCACCAGCGCCCTCTAGACCGCCACCTACCCTCCCCACCGCTTTCCGAATTTCTCCTCCCCGCCAATCCGACATCAGACACCACACGATGGAGCGCCTATCTCTAAACGAAAGCCCTGCCCCGGCCCCTCGAACCCCGCAGCAAAACCAACAATTCTCCCAGAATGCCCTCGGCCCAGCTGGCCCCCAGCCAACAGGCGGCCCACCGCAGTTACCCCCGCAGATGTTCACGACCGCCGCACAGCTGCTCGATCTAACAGATAGTATGTCTACGCAGACGCGCTAAAAGCGACCCAATAGCAGAAAGAAAGAGAGGGAGAGAAGAACATACCTGACGCAATCGCAGAGAAACTCGTCCTCATCCTCCGCGACGGCCGTAAACTCATCGGCGTCCTCCGAAGCTGGGATCAGTTCGGTACGCCAGTCGCACCACATTCAACCCCAGTCTCTCTCGCCATTTTATCTGACATTCGATTCTCGCAGCAAATCTCGTTTTTCAGGATACCGTGGAGCGCGTCTACGCTGGACAGCTGTATGCCGATGTCTCGCGCGGGATCTTCATCGTTCGTGGAGAGAATGTGCTCCTGCTAGGCGAAGTGGTACGATCAATTCCTCAACCCTCCATTCCCTGCTGCAAGGTTTACGGGAATTGTCCTAGCCAAGTCACAAGGAATTCCGGCTAACGCCTTGTCGATCGATATACAGGACCTCGACCGCGAAGACGATATCCCGCCCACACTGACTAGAGCTCCGTTCGAGGAAGTTTTCGAGCTGAAGAAGAAGGAGGACTCAAAGCGGAAAACGGGCGATAAGAAGCGCTACGATGAGCTGCAGGCGCTCGGTTTCGAGCCCGAACACAGTGGGGAAATTCTGTTCTAATTATTATCACCACCTGCTTGTTGTGTGTTTGGTCTGTTGGGGTCAGTTCGTGCTAGACCAGACTCTGGTCTGTCGACCTATCGCTTGCCCTATTCCCCGGTCCGGTATTTGATATTTGATACCTGCATTGAAGACTGAGTGTTGAAAATGAACGAAGGGGCGTCAGGATAAACCGGTCGATAACCTCCCGACGAGTGACGGTGTCGATTTCTGCACCGTGCCGGATTGTGATTATTTGGAATTGCATCGGCGATGGAGTTTTGGCTGAATTCGGATGCTCGGCGGAGCGGTCGGCTACTACTGTCTGCTGTATACTGCGACGAAGCTGTCGACGCTATGGCTTTGGTGGATGCGATGCTGTCCAGCCTAGAGCTCGTGAGCTTCTTTATTATTTGTCCCTTTTGCGTCGCACTCTACATCTACTTCTCTGGGCGAGTGATGGGGGCTGTGGGAAATGCTGCTGAGCTGCCTGGTTGGCTGGCTCGCGTTCATGAAGTTCTGATTGATATGTTCGATACACTTTTTTTTTGCATGATAAACTGCTTCGCGGATGAGAATATGAAAAAAGTCACACTGCATTTGTGGTTCTGGCTATTTAGCTGTAGTTGAAGTGTACTCGATCACTGGAGGCTCCAGTAGCATATCATCAGCGCCATGGGATGGATATTGGATATTTGCCCAGCGATGCAGCAAGACTAGTGTTGCCAAATATAAACTGCTACTACTCATCCGATACGCACAGCTTGTAGGCCACATGTACATACATCTTACACCAAAAGTAAAACAATATCTATGTTCATTGACTCAAGAGAAAACTTTTGAACAGAATCGTAATCATATCATGAAAAACACGGAGTCGAATAACTCTGCATTGAAACAGAAAAAAGCCCAGTGTCAACGGAATTACCACAGCGGAGGGTATTATGAGAAGCGTCAACACTAACCAAGCATGACAGGGACCGAAGACCAGATGGCAGAAACAAAAGAAACAAGAAATCAAAACCAGCGAACTCAGAAACGATAACTCCGGGATCTGCTAGATGCCATCCTCCTTCTCTCCCCACCTACAGTACCCAAGCACGGCAGACAAATAGATACGACTTACTGTAAAGTAAATAGGTTATCTCTTCTTGCCCCATCCTGAGCGGTTACCACCCCGAGGAGCGTGGCCTGGATTGCGACGCTTCTCAATGCGACCACCGCCGGGCGCACCGGAAGTCTTGGGTGCACCAAGACCACGACGACCAGAGCTCTGACCGGATCCAGAAGCGCGCAGGTCCTGCTTCAGGTCGTCCTCATCAACATCCATGCTATCGCCAGCATTCTTCTTCGACGACTGGCCCATCTTCACCTTGCCTCTCTGGCCACGACGGACGGCGTCGGGTCCACTAACAGCAGCGAGGTAGGCGTTGACACCACCATCGCCAGCACCGGACATCTCGACGTCGTCAGCGACGACATCGCCATCATCGCCAAGGACAAGACGGCCGTCAGCGTCGACCTTGGCGGCGCGCTGCTTCTTCTTTGAGCCGGGGCCTGTGTTAAGGAAGCGCTGGCTGGGCTTGGTGGTGGAGATGCTAGCCAGAGCGTTGGAGCCGAGCAGATCGAGGGGATTGTCTTCGGGAGACATCTCGCGGATGTACTGTGTGCTTTGGCCTGCCTTTTTCTTGGAGTTGCGGCCCTTGATTTGAGCGACGTCGTCGACGTCGACGTCACTGTCGCCGTCGTCTGGGTCGTCGGAGGAGTCGGAGTCAGAGCCGTAAACGGCCTTGTCGAAGGCATTGCCAGATTGGGGCTTGGAGGCCTTCTCCTCGTCGTCTTCGTCTTCGCCTTCGGCACCCTCCTTCTTCTTGCGCTTGCTGCGCTCACGGGCTTTGCGGATGTTGACTATAAGCTTGCGGTCTTCCTCGCCGACAATAGCCTCTAAGAGGGGAGCACCGAATCGGCGAACGAGTCGGTCGATGATGCCCTTCACCTTGCTACGGAGACGGCCCTTGTGCTCCTTGTTCCAGGCCATGAGGCTGGGGACCATGGTGCTCAGACGGGGGCGCAGGGTTTCGTCGGGAAGAACGACGACTGCAACCTTGACGAAGCCAAGGACAGAGCGGACGATCTCACGGTTGTTGGAGGTAAGGAAGAGCTCAACCGTCTCAACGAGTTCCTTGAGCATCTCAGGCTGAAGCTGTGTTTGGAAGTCGAAGAACAGGCGTGAAAGCGCAGTGACGGTGGCGCCGACCATGTGAGGAGCCGAGCCAGCCAGACCGGCTGAGACCATCGTGAAGAACTCTTCGAGGGTAGCGGGGGCATCGGGGGAATCGTCCGCGACACCTGGCACAAGAGATCTGCGGATGACAGTGCCGGGAGGGTTACGCTCTGAATCGGTTGTGCGCTTGGCCAAGAGAATCAGGAGGTCAAAGGCCGCTGTACGTGCCTTCTCGTTGCTCTCCTTGCAGCCCAGAACCACCTCGGACAGAATTGCCGGGATGAAGTGCAGATCCGAAGTGGGAAGGTGACGGATCATCTCGGTGATAGCGAGCATACGGTCGCGGCGGCCGGACGCAGGGGTGGTATCGGTGGTGGAAAGCATGAGAGTCTGCAACTCTCCACTACGTTCCTGGAGGGCGGCGCGGCCAGTCTCGGTCGTTCCAAGTCGGGGAATCAACTTGTAGGCCTTCTTGACGAGTTGCTGATCCGGGTTGGGAGATGAGCTGTTGAGGATAGCTGCTGCCATTGCAAACAAGCCACTGAAGCTGGAGCGAGGGAGGTAGATTGACATAGCGATGACGAGGTCAATCAGGGTGTGGGAGGTCGGTGGCATCTTGTCGGACGAGCCCTGAGCCTGAGCACTCTGCTTGGTTGCTGTCTCTTGCTCGGTAGCCAAAGAAGACTCCAGCATTGAAGTAACGCGGTTGAAAGTGTCGTTCAGCTCCTATGGAGGGTGTTAATCCTTGCTGATTTGGATACAAGACTGGGGTGGAAACTTACATTTTCAGGGGTAATGCTCAGGTAGGCATTGATACACTGTAGAATGTAGCCGCGGTAGTGGGGAAGGGTCTGGCTGTAGACGTTGAACAAAACAGCCAGCAGATTGCTCGCAAGACCGGCGAGATGAGTGAGGTTTTTCTGCGCAGCGACCTTAGTGATACGTCGTTGCAAGATCAGATCATCCTCATCATTTTCGACAGACAGGATAGCCTGGTTAGACTCAACCAGGTTCTGCAAAGCACGGCAGACATCGACACGCAACTCGGTCTGCTTGTACAGAACATTAGACAGCAGCTCAGCGAATGCCTGGTCAAATGCCTCCTCAAGATCAAGCGGCAGCTCGCAGTAGCCGGGAAGGGTACCCCAGGTCTGTTGGACGAGGGTCTCAAAGATCTTCACTTCCATGGACTTCTCAGCGGCACCGAAGTTCACCACCTTCTGGTACAGTGCCTCACTCAGGGGAACGAGTTCGGTACGGAAGTGACGAAGGTTCGTGTTGGTCACGCTGTCGCGCATAATGGGCAGCATCCAGACACGACCGGGTTGACCAGCCTTCTGTTCGATAATGTTGAGGGGAAGAATCTCCAACACTGCCTCGGGCCCCATCGCCTCAATGGCACTACCGAGAACGGCATCGGCTTCCTTCTTGCCGTGGAAGCCGCCATTGCTGCGCAGTTCACCGATTGTGGAGACAATCTTGACAAGATATGGGCTTGATCGCCACTTGAAGCAATCGAACAGGGCCGAGCAAACATTGAACACCTCTTTCCAAGCAGCCTGGTACTTCACCGACAGGAGGTCAACGGCTGCACGAGACAACTTCTCCAAGGTCTTCTCATCATAGACAGATGGGTCCACAATAACAGTGTTGGGGATACAGTTGTGCAGGAATGAGATCAGACACTCAGATGCGGAAACGCGGATGTTGCTGGAAGGCGAAGCCATGAATCCAGAAATCAAGGTGAACAGATCCGGCAACTTCTCGAAAGTATCCTCGGGAGTGATTTGTGCGGCCACATCGTAACCGCGCGAGAGAACTGCAATCCAAGGTGGGAGAAGCTGGGAGTCATTCTGCGCAGGCTTGAGTTCGGAGATGGCATCCAAAAGACGGGGCAGCTTTGATGACGAGAACTCATCAGCCATTCCTTCGAAAATCACCTCAAATACCTCGAAGGCACCCATGGTGATGTACTCGTTGCTAGAGTGAGAAGCGTTCATGAGAAGTTCGCTGAGCGGTTCGATCTTCTTGCTGGGCCAGCCACCTGAGGCCGAGGCGATAGTCTTGATCAGCTGCAACGAGTGAATGATAAGGGGCTCGTGGTTGTTGGCCTGAGCATCGTGACGACCCTTCTTTTGCTTGTGAGCGGCTGTGATGCTATCACCCAGAGTCTTCATCGCAGACTGAGCGCACATATCCGCACCTGGGTGGTCCAAAGACGGGCTCGGAGGGGGCGCCTTGAGAACCTTGACAAGAGCCTCCTGGGCACGCTTCCGCACCTTGGGCCGGTGATCAACCGAGAGGCTTAGCAGACCTGCCATTGCGCGTCGCGGGCCGACCTGTGTGTGGGGGAGATTCCATGATGCAGCATCCTGGGCAATGAGAAGAGACTCAAGACAGCCGATTGAAGGACGCAGAAGCGGGGCTTCAACTTCGGGGAGGGAAAGCGCAGGTGCAAGGCCTTCGAGAATCTGGGAGAATTTGGCGCAAAGGATTGGAGCGGGGACGTAAACGGTTGTGATGTCGAGAAGGTAGACAACGGATGTCGCTAGGTCCTTGTTGACAATGCCCTGGGATGCGGAGAGTGACTGTGAGAGTAGTGCAAGAAGAGCGGCAAAATAAGCTGTTGGCGAGAAGTCTGCCTTTTGATCACGGAGAGTATCCTCGACTGCAGAGAGTACGACAGCAGTCTGTTCATGAATCAATACGTTAGTGTCAATTGATTGGGTGTGCAGAGGGAAAACTTACGTGATGCTGGTTCTGCAGCTTGGGAGACTTAATCTTCTCAAGCTTCTCCGCCAGAGTCGCCATGATGATTGCGGACGACGAGGTGGAGAAGAGTCAAAGAAAGCAATGTATTGGGATGAGAAAGAGGGCTGTTTTGGCGGTGATAAAAATCGTAAAGGAAAAAAAGGTAAAGTCCGGCAAATTTGGAGGCGGTCGGACAGGCGGCGGCGGGGCGATGCACAGTGTATTCTAGTTAATCCCTTCCGCCCTCCTCTTCGCTTGCCCGAAGTGCCACAGCCAAAGTTAGCCTGGCAAAATATTCAACGTGCTCCTTCACGTTATTCAAATATGCGCCATATTTATAAATTTGAACGAATTCCTCTTGCTTAACAAAGCGCTTCCCCTCATCGCCCTGCATGTGCTGTCTCCCCCCGTCTGTGTGAATAGCGTTTAGAATGTACATTTCGTTGCCATTCTGCGCAAACAGCGTCACCCTAAACAGTTATGTCAGTATAGAACCAAAACATAGTAGCATGATCCTATAAGCTCGCCTGTCTTTCGGAAGACTCTTCTTTGGATGCTCGTTCAATACGGCTGCGACCATTTCCATAGTCTCCTGCCAAGATACTCTTGGTTCATGATCTGAGCGTCCGCGAGCTTTAGTTTCCACAATTGCTTAGTTTCGAAGTGTTGATCTCGACTCTAGGAAGCCGTCTACCTGGCAAGACAAGCTAAAGACGTCTGAGTCGAGCTTTCTGTTTTCCTTGTCCGTCTTGACCTTCCTAAAATCAAATGTCAAGTGCACTCGAGCCGGATTCCAGTCACTATCCACATTTAGGGTGCATCGCACAGACTGCTTGCAAGAAACTGAGGAATGAAGCATTCACAAGCTCCTCATTGCTGCCATAGGCCCTCTCCTGTTTCGCTGGCTGTAGTAACTGGTTCGCTCGATGCTGTTGCTCATAAGGATGCCAGAAGATCACTAGTGCAATGCCCTTTGGCCGGGTCTTGTTGTGAATTGCCGTCAGATAGTCTCTAAAAGCTTGGACACCATCCAGGTGTTCGCTGGCTGCGTGAAACTGGGTATCGAATCCCAACTTCGTTTGAACATGCCATCTATCGGTTGGGAGCACCTTGGGCCAGATAGTTTTCAGAAGTAGGAATTCTTCTTCGACTATCTTGGAGCCTGACTTGAATGGGTCTCTGGTGTGGACGCTAGTCTTCAAGTTGACCCCTTTCCTCCGGGCTGCTGCTTTCCACTTCTGGATATCTGAGGGGACATTGGTCGGCTGGTTTAGGGGCATTTTCGAAACTTCGGATACGACTCTGCTTTTGTGAAACGGACGAGGGCTAATTGAGCAGATGAAGAGACAGATGAAGAGACAGATGAAATGGCTAGATAAGCGTGCCTGGAGAGAAACGAGGGGAGAATGGTTGAGTTAATAGAAAGAAAGGTTCAAGTATTTGCTGCCTCATGCTCGAGGCTTGTTGTCGTTCACTGCGAGTACCTAGGTACCACACATATCAAAGCTCCTTCCCTCAAAACCAAAACACTCCTTATCCATTCACTGTAGTTCGTCTCACGACGTCTGGCGCGACGATACCTTAGCCTTCCATTTTGAGGAGGGCCGTGAAGGCTTTCTCTCGTGAAGTTTCTTTTCCTACATCTCTCTGGAAATTAACAGATGCGTCCCAAATGCCTAAGGTCTCTATCCATAGAGTTCACAACTGTGCCTGACAGACCGCTATTGCGCTGACCATCCTGTTCATCATCGATTCAACACCGGCCTCAAAGCTCTCCTGTTCTGGGTTATCCGACGGTGCTAGCCCCATCACCACAACACAAGTTATTTTGGCCGTCTACACCATCGTCATCGATCGTATATATCGCTCTATCTTGCCCCGCGGCGAAAGATCGAAGCTCCTAGCTATGAAGTCTTCTGACCACTGAGAAATTTGTCGAAGCTCGCTATGTTTCCCGGATAGTCGACTTGTCATCTATTGCCCGAAGGTCGTCGACCACGACTCAACGTGTGCAACCGAGCCCTCCTTAATCTATCCTAGTCGTTCGAACCTGCCGATGAAAGCGAACCTTCCCGTCATCCCTCACAAACCTAGCAACAGTTTAGATGATTTGTGCTGCTCGCTAGTATTCCGCCGTCCACCGCTGCACTAACACCTCCCTCTACCATGATGCTCACTCACGGACTCCCTGTCGACCCGATACCCGAACGGCTTTCTGCCCGAATTGACCGCGAAAGAGATTCTGGAGTTGAGGTACAATATGAAGCTTGAGAATATGAAGGACGGAATTCTTTTGTCGACCAAAATCGAAAGACTGGGGGTGGACATAAGATACACGAGACAAGATACGGAATAACACTGACATCGATAGTTCTTTTCTCATTCTCAAGTTGATTCACATTGCTGATGGTTTTACGTTTGCATCATTTCATGACATTTGGCATTGCTGTCGGGTCTCGTTGAAATATTACAGGGGTCTCGATAAGCCCATCGTGCCATGCACCGATGGTTTGATGCGCTTTGCCCTAAGCTTGCAAGCTGGCGTGTCAGGTCTTGTGTGACGCCTTGAAAGATGACGACTTGCTAGGCCTATTGGCAGGGTCTCTCATCTCTCAATGGTGAGAATACCCTTTATCTGCTCCGTGGACTCGTTGGCAACAACAGGCCCGTTCGCCTCACCAATACCCAGGCTTCCTTCGATGGCAGGCTATCCAAATTGATCAACATGCTTGTCTGCCTCCTTGCGGGTGCAACTTTCTCTCGAACGCAGTCGCATGAATGCACATGGCGCGGTTCGTATTGGCTGGTGCATAGAAGACCATAGCATACTTGCAAACAGGCACATATCTCGTTGTGTGCAGGTGCTTGATGCTCAATGACATGCTGACGGTCATCAGTCCTCGCCTTTCACGGACCAGACCCACTCTTTGGACCGCTTGGCTACACGCGGCTAGCCGAACATCGATCCATGCATCCGTCTCTAGCGTTGTCATCCTTTCTCTAGTTAGTTTCTCTCCAGCTATCTCAATTTCCCTTCTCTGGAATTCTCTCTTAGTTATGGAATATAGCAATAGTTCTTCCTGGATCTTTGCGGTCCCGTTGATGATATTCTCTTGCCTCTGTGTCAGGGGTCCATGTTGCCAGGATACCTAGTTATGATACCTAGCTACGGTTCAACTTGAGTTCACGCTTGATCATGGACCACTATTAACAGTCGTAACTTATAATGGACTTAGTCGTAGGTATCGAATGCGCAAATTTTGCCTGTCTTCGGCTGAAAAGATGAACTAAACCGCCGACATTCCGGACTTGCTCAGTTATATTTCCTTGATTTCGCCTTGACAGACGATCTCTGTCTGACGTCTCCGTGGTTAACGGCTAGACTCTTCTAAATGAAGAGGCTGAAATGTTTCTGGCCTCTAAACAGACTGATCGCCCTACGATTAATCTCTATGAAGTCACGACATGAGTATCACAACACTCACTCTGGAATATTGACAGTCGCTCACGTATAGATATAGTGTAATCAGCTATTCATTAGGAGCGCATTTTAGCTCCGTCATGAAATGCAGTAGAATAAAAATTGTATTTGTATTTGTCGACGGCAGAGATCAGGAAGGAAGCGTAGTCAATCGATCCGCCGTATTGCAAACAGAGAACTAGAGGAGGAGAGAACAAACAGAGAGAGAGGAAAGAGAAGCCCTCATCTCTACAAACGAACAAGCAGGCCTAGGCCTAAATAATTAGGCAGAAACGCAGCTCACATGATCTAGGCTCCAACAGTATTGCTAGGGAACTCTTATTCCTCAAAAAGCGATTTCAGCTACTAGAGAGAGGGTTCCCTTGTTCGATTCGAGGAGCGAGGCTGGATGCTGAACACGAGGAGCTGGAGAATCTTCAGCAATGAGAACAGGCTCGGACTCCTTACTATCTCGGGGTTTGCAATTGTTGTAACGAACGAAAAGCTTCATCTTTTCATTGCTGTCCACGAAATTGTAAATCGGGGAGGACTGGACATTTAGGGTGCCAGAATTGTGGAATTTAGCCTGCAGCAGGCGGCCATGCCTTGGCCCGAAGAGCGAAAGCATGAGTACCTATAAGCATAATTAGCGCTAGTTTGTCATAGCATAGGCCATTATAGGTCTTAGACATACTGGGAAGATCGAGGTAGTCTCAAATTCTGGCTGGTTGAGACGGCAATAGATAGCATTTGAAATAGACCCTAGCTCTCCATGGAGTAGTTCATTCTCTTTCGCCTCTGCGCCAGTGAGAGTCACAAGCTTGATGTGAGGGCGAGTGGTCTTTAAATTTTCGTCCAACCATTGACAGGTAGAATCCGTGTGCCACATTGGAAGGGTTTGAGGCGTCGAATGTCCGATTGTAACACCCAATAACATTCCATCTCCAGTATCGTGGAAAGAGTCTTCAGCCCTAATAGTTATTAGTGGCTAGTTAATAAACTATGAACGAGACTCACTTGATATTATCCCAGTACGAGACGTCTCTTATTGAGACAGTATCTTCATGCATTTCCTTCTTGTAGCTTGACTCGAAGATTTCAAGACAGAATGAAATTTGAGAAGCTCTGTCCCACATCCGGCAATGCTCGGGGACCGAGTAAGTTTGCGGGAATTCATTGAATGTGTCCTCGAATCTGTGGAGATAACGATCCTCGTCCTTAGTAAGCCCTTTTTTTATCGATTTCGTACTCTTCAAGCTCCTCCGGGGTGAGAGGCTGGAAGAGACAAGCTTCGGAATCGGTGAATTCTGGATCCTCGGGATCGAAGGATTGAACGGAGAATCCAAATTGAGCGAGATCGGTGTGCGTGTAGGTAGGCTTAGATCGAGACTGAAGTGATTCGATGATAGATAGCGCCGCTTGCTTGTACGTGTCTCTTAAGCGAACTCGTTCCCGCGCCGGGCCAACAGGAGACGGCCCAACGAGGGAAGAAGCCATGGTGGAAATCACCGAAGAAGGCGCAGATGTTGTGGGTCGACTTGAGAGCTGGGAGGTAGACCCGGGGTATAAACCGTTAGAGTAGCCCCACATGACGTCATCAATTGTAGCTCCCTGACGGAAATCTGCTGGAACAACAATACAACAATGTTTTTGGTAACCTTGGTGGTATTGAACTCTCTAACTAACAAAAATAAAAAACTCTGGAAATTTGACTAACCGTAATATGCACTTTTGTACGGTACAGATGCCTCGTACCATCGGTCACATGATTTTCTGGGTAATACGCTATCTCAACCATGTATTCCACCTGGATACATATTCGACACTCCCTCCAAGTTCTAAAGTCGAACAGCGATCTTGATATTGCTCCTTCCATCACTTCGTTCTTCCGTATATCTTACTTACCGACACGCCTCAATTGTGTTCTCATCCTACAACCTGTCCGAGTCCCTTGCTGCCCTCCGCCGCCGCAGGGACGACCTCGTAAAATTCGCTGAGGAGCACTGCAGCATGCCCTCCACGCGGAAGATCGTAAAACTAAAGGCTGCTGCCACCAAAGTATCCATGTGGATAACGATTGGATCGGCTGTTGGGATCTCACTTGGACTGTACACAGCCTTCCGACTGCGCAGTTCTCGTAGAGCATTCTTCAGCACTGTTCGATCGTAAGAGAAGCCGACAAAAGCTGTTTTTGCTGATGGTCGTACTGGTATATTTATAATTTTAGTAAACAGAGACGCTTGTCTTAAGGTCGGAGGGAGGTAGTTTACCACAGATGACCTTTACCCTGATGGTGACTCGTGGTTGCTTTCAATTGATTCAATCCCTTCCTGGTTCCAAGTGGCTATTTTATCTGTCATACCTAACGCCCGGGCGGAATCCAGATCATAGATCGTAGTCCAATAGATAATTTGACACATATCGTATGTGGTCAAAAATATTTTTCGCGAAGCTTTTGAGCGCATGGAATGTTCCTATCTCAGATATGTAGTCCCGTGTGCATAAAGCCCTAAGATTACATTATGACTACCAGGAGCGACCGGAACCAGACGCTACGTAAAGAACGTAAAATGAACAAAACAGGGTGATTTGAAAAAGGATGCTCAGGCTGAGAAATATGGGTTACAGATCGCATACTTGCTTGCAATGGCTCCTTGAGGATGACCACATGTGTGCCGCTTCAGCAATGATTGTCTCCCGCACGGCGCGTTGGAAGCTCTCGCCATCTGGTTGCCATCCCAGCAGCTTTCTTGCCCGTGAAGCTCGGCCCTGACCATTGGTGCCCAGGAACACACCTCCATTGGGTATCACCTCGTTGGACTCTTCAAGATCCATGGATCTCACTGAATCAGGCGAATCAATGTAGCCGAGGCTATGCGCCTCTTTGGCGATCACTGAAGCGACGCCTTTGAAGCTCTAAAGGAAGAAAGAAAAGGTCAGCGCGGATAAGTTGGGATATATTAGGCCATGTACTAACCTCGAAGCCCTTTTCCGCAAAGAAAAGGCCATTCTCATTCCAGATAGGACTGGCAGTGGCGTTGACAGCGTTCTCCACCAATTTGACAAACAGATCAGCCAATTCAGAGACATGAACAATGCCCCATCGACTTAGTCCCCTGCCAAGATACAGACTGACACGTTGCAGAAGAGCGGCATGGGCCAATGAGGGAACCTGGACGCTGCGTTTCTTCACAGGACCTTTACCAATGCCAAATATAATGGGAGGGAAAATAATCGCAGTTTTGGGGCCGCCTGATCCTAAGTCGAGAATGTAGTTATCCACCACTCGACGATCTTTGTATGCCCGAATTATATCCCGGAGATCAGCAGCGTTGTCTAAATCATCAATGATTTGATCCGAGGGCTCGCCGTATGAGTTGTTATCAACCTCCGGGCCCGCTAGAACACTAGCCCCGGTAACTTGAATGTAATAGGCTGCAGTTTTACTTCAATTAGCGATCAAACCGAAAGAAGATATGGTAGTAATAGATGGCGTACCATTCTGACGCCCCGCCAAACCATTTGCAATCGCTTTCACGCTTGCGAGATGCTTGTTACTCGCAGCATCTAAATGAAAAAATTTAGTGATAGGTTCTGCCACTGTTAGATGTAAATTGACTCACGGATGACAATATTGGCTTTGCGCGATTCTTCTTCAATGATTTCGACATTATCCAAGTCGGCAAGGACCACACGGACTTTAGGAAATGCAGCCAAAACCTCGCCAGCCTTCTCCTTATCTCTGATCAAGGCGGCAACCTCGTAATCAGGATGCGCATGCTGCAAAGCGTGGAGGACTTCGCCCCCGATGTAGCCAGTGGCACCGGTACTAGAATTTGAGTCACCAATTAGCAAAACATGAATAACGCCCCATAAGGAAATGGAAAGCCACTTACAGGAAGATCTGTGTCATTTTTGAAATTGAGGAGTTGGGAATGTTTCAAGTTGGACAGGCAGGAGACCAGGTATTTAATATACATCCCCGCGCACCAGGATAGGAAAGTGATTCCGTGGAGACATTCCGCGGGGTCAACGAGAGATTTTTGGGACTTCACGACATGCACTTTTAGTTATTCGATTTAGTTATTCGATATATCTCTTCTTATGTATTCTTCCTCTTCTAGTCTGGAGATTGAAAGCAATTGGCCTACACTACAAACCGTGAAAATATACAGCAGTCAGGCAAAAGTCAACTCCTCACTTCGGTCTACCTGTGTAGGGAATCCCCACGTAAAACTGAAGCCAACATTTTTTTAAGACTGGATTCGCAAGAGTTGCTTATAGTGCGGATACCTAGGCTAGTCCTTTTAGGGAGAGAGAAAGTTGTAGTTTAAATAAACCTCCCTTCCTATATCCATAGAGTATAAGATTATATTGTTTTTAGTGTGCCGCTCGAGATCCATTAACGGGTTATTTACTGCTCCGTATGGTGATCCTAATCGCCCGGTCAAAGGATAGATAATAACCCTGCGCGGCCGATCTTAATTCTGTGATCTAAGCCTGTTTTGCCTCACTAGGAGGCCAGTGCGTCTGATAGCTAGAGCAGGGTTCAATCAAATATTTCGTTCCAAGAATATCGCCGAGAAGATACCATATAACCTTGCTGCAATTGGATACTGGCCCACATATGAAAGATATCCCACTAGTGCGATCGACAGTATTGAACCGTAGTGGCGAGAAGGACAAGGTGCAATCTAAGGCTATCACACCTTTGAAACGATTTAAATCCAAGAAGCTAAAGGAGGAGGCCAAGGATTCGGAAAAGCTAAGTAAAGTGTGCTACTCTCATTCCATTCTCAAGAAGTCCACCAAAAACGCATCTCCTTCTCCTCAGCCTAAATACATACTTGGTGGCAGTGTCTGTGTATTGCTCAGTATCCGTTTCATCATTATCGCTTCTGCTATAGATCTGGCCGCAGGTGTCAATGCCACCTTGACCGCTGATCAAATCACAGACAAGGTCGATGCCCTCACTCAGAAAGTAGCGGTCACTAATGACGATGCTGAAGAGAACAGATCTCTCCTATCTCTTTGTTCACCAAAACACTTGTATGTGTGGTATCAGGTTTCAACGTTTTACAAGCCCAGCTTTTGGTACTGGCCTAGGTTACAGCAAGTTCTCAACGGCCTCCAGGGTATCATCCAGGGCCACGATGATGCCTTTGCCATGACCGCACTGCCACCAGTTGACTGATGCATAAGTTCATATAGCCACAGTCAAGTTTATTTGGGCGTGAACTCGTAATAAAACACCCTTTATAACCTCTTATTCGAAGTGGATCTTAACGTATTCTAGTCCCTAAGCCACTGGAAAGTAATGTTGTCGATGCCTTCCAATATTGGGGCCGTTTTGACTGACTCGTCAGAATGTTGGCCTCAGGCCAGATTGCTGCCTAAAGTGGTTAGCCCTGCTTGACATCTCCTCATCTCACCTCCCCAATGTTCCTGTCTTCGGTTTTTTCTTCAATAATACATTATAATGTACGCTTCTACTTTCAATCTTGCCGTCCCTTTATAAGAAACCAGCGACTTGGAATTGGCCAGAGAGAGCCTTATCATATTGCGCCTGGATGATGACATGCGTGCAAAATCTTCCAGGCGCGGGGTGCGATCAAAAAAGAAAGGAAAGGAAAAGCTCGGGCCATACAAAGCAAATCCTTCTTGGTCAGATTTCGATTTTCTCAACTAATGGAAAATCACAGCCACAGTTCGTAGCTGTCAGACCAATTGGAGGTAATGGGGCTCTTCTTCACGTAAGCCGTTTTCAAGGCATCTGAGCAAGCCCTGAAGGTGCGCATCCAGTCACATCCCAAGAACACAAAATCTCCATGTCATGCCTGCGCCACTGCTGGAGCTGCCCCCTTTGAAAATTTCTGCTAAGATCGCCAATCATGGTGATGTGTGGCGCCGGGGTACGCTGGGATGTATGAAAACTCTGCCAAAATGCCTCTCAAGGCACCCAGGTAGGTAGGTCATCGGAAACCCTTGAGTATATAAGCCGTAGATCCCCCAGGGGTTTCCCCGCATTTCTGTGTAGGTAGCTCTCATCTTTCTCCTTTTACGTGATACTCATTAAGCTAAGTCTCTTACGCCTGCCAACTACGATCTGCACCATGACAGAACCAGTTGAACGTGGCTTGTCATACCTCGAACAAGAGGGAGGGGATCAGTGGAACGAAAGTGATCCCCCGTTCTACCGTATTCTCGCTGACAACTGGTCCTCTCTTGTCGACGATTTTTCATATGACCCCTTTCCCGAATGCCCTTCCGCTCCCCTCACCCCTGACCTTGCGGCTTCCACCTCACCCGGCACTCTCCACGAGATCACCAATGACCAATACGATAAGGGCTCCTCGGTCGAAGACGGCGCCTCTTCTACCGATACTCCTAGCCTTGACATCCACGATGGGATGTCTGAAATCACTTGTACGATCGGCTCCACTGTGGGCGAAGAGCAACGACCGACTACTGCTGCAGATGATAGTCTCCAGAGACCTACATCTTATGGAAAAGTCTCGATGGGTGTTAAGTATGTTCCCTTTGGAATAACTCTCTGTTCCCGCGGAACATCCTTCTGAAATGTGGGTTCTAACATCCATCTTGCATAGATCTGGCCGTGGCAGTCCACTGAAGTGCAAATGGAAGCACTGCGAATACTCAGGCGGATTCTCTCAAATGGGAGCCCTTTTACGCCATATCAAAACAAAGCACATCTCACCGGGATTATATGAATGCCACCAGAAAGAGTGCAAGAAGTCGTTCAACCGAAAGGACAATTTGATTGCACATATCCGGAATGTTCACCGCGAAATCGTTTGATTCTTGCTTTGAACTGTTCTCTGAATCCGGCAGTGAGTATCGGGGTTCTGGTTGGAGCTATGGTGTATGGGTATGGAAAGGTTATACTTCTTTTTCAGTTTTTGTTACAATACAAAAGTCTTCACTTGGTTTATTATTTAGGGACATTGCCAAATAGCGCAGGGATGTCGCCGCGTTAAGCTGATATATTATTATTTTTCATTCAATAGATCCTCGACCCTGCAACACTTAACTCCTTGAACATGTTCCATCTTCTCTTTACCTAATGGTTCTCAGTCCTGCTCTGCACCGACTTTGAACCATTCGGTTTGGTCACCGGGCTGAGAAGAGAGGTCTCTGCTCTCAACCAGTCTACGTATATCCTCCCGTGCCCCTTGCTATATAGCCACCCATCTAGAAAAGCACCTTGGAAAGATCCTTGTTAGACTGTACTTTGATGTTTCTCATCATAAGCACCCAGGCAATTGAAAGTCCCATTACCGCTGTACCGGCAATCATCATGTTCCGCTGGCTGAATGCATACGCATTCTGGATAGCAGTGCGAGCAGGCGTACCAACCGCATAACCGAGCTGTACGTCCAAGGACTCGTATATCTCCTCCCACTGGTCCTTCAACTCGGCTGGCAGATTCTCGCGCAGCTTGCCGGGAAGTGTGTTCGTCCAGATAGCGCCGGAAACACTACTGCCCACCGCGCCACCGATATTTCCAAACGTGCTGAGAAGTGCCAACATGGCGGCATAGTCTTCATGCGAGGCCGCAGCAAGAACAGCAACCTGCTCGATCAGAATAAATGTTCCGCCACCAACTGCCAGGAAGATTTGGCACATGCACATATATCCTACGTTGTGACCCGGTTGGCGGAAGTAGATCATTAGACCGCTTGCCAGGATATAAAGAGGAACGGCGGCGCAGAGGAGCCACTTGAAGCGACCAGTATGTCTGATGAGAAAGCCACAACCAATGAGCCAAACCGGGTCCATGAAATCAAAGATGGCGCTGATGTAACCGGCCTGCGTCAGGCTTGTGTCGTAAACGACTTGGAGGTAAGAGGTGAAATAGCTGGCCCAGCAATAATACGAGACCTGGTAGGTAATATCGAGTAGGCATGCGCCAATGACAGTGCGATCGGTGATTAGGTAGAATGGGATGAAAGGCTTCGGAGCCAGCCATCTCTCGTAACTGACGAATGCAACGAGAACACAGAATCCCACAACCATCATAGCAATGATCTTAGGCGATTGCCATTGGCCTTCGGTGTTGCCGGCGATATTGAAAGATGTCAGGAAAAGAATCGTGCCGCCTATCATCAAGAAGATTCCGAAGACTGTGCACCGCAAACAGGAGTGAGCAAAGATGCAAGAAATGGGATTGAGAGCTTAACTAACCGTCAAATTCCATGGCGTAGTACCAAATGCTTCCTATCCAGGATCGTGTTGTCCTCTCCTTGTATTGTAATTGACCGTTCTTGTCGGCCTTTCGTTTGGCCATTTCCCAGGTCAAAATCAAAGGAAGCGCAGCGATAGGGAGAATGATGCAAATTGTCCCATACGCCCATCGCCAATTGGTTTCGTGGAATTGATTTGATAAAGGAGAGCCAGCAAAGGCTGTGATCATGCTAGGAGAGGAGGTGAAAGCATAAGCAAGACCTCGATCACGAAGCGATGAGGTGTCTGAGGTTATCACATCAATGCAGAATATGGCACCGGTGAATCCGACAGTGTAAAATGCCTTGGTTAATTAGCTATTTTGATCTAGGTCTGTGGAGGGGATGGGCATGGGAACACACCTGTGCAGCACAGTATGTCGCAATATTGTTACAAGCAGCCATCATAATCAAACCCATAATTGCAATCAAAATCATGATCACGAATCCAACAGTTCGATCAAAAAGGTTGAGGACTTTGGCGATGGGCATCAAGCATGCAGCACCCATAACGCTGGTTACCACTGAAATCACGGTGAGCAGCGAATGTTCCGAAAAGTCACTTGTAATATAAGCGGAGAGGTTTGAGGTGAGACTGCTGTTGAGATTGTTGACGAAATACACCAGCCACATACTACGTTCGCATTAAATCAGACATTTCGGGAAAGAGTCCTCGAGTGAGTTCACTCACCTAGTATAAGCAACAATTAGATGCTTGCGAGACCATGTAGTCGTGACTGCGTCGGCAACTTGAACACCATCTTGCTGAATCTTGTCATCTGGCATCTGTGATTCCTCCGTGTTCAATGGCTGCGGGCGCTCCATGGCCCCTTTGATGGCGTCCATGTTCTCCGTATCCATGGAGGTTAGAAGCGTCAGTTAGGTTGAGGAAGCCTACGGGATTGATTCAACTCAGAATGAATGGTTAGAGGGCGCAGATCTTCTTTAAACTCTCTCTCTCGGCTATAATATCAAAATGTAGGCCTTTTCCGTTCATGTAAGCGAGGGTGGAGTTCCCTAATATAACTAATGCTTGACTCCTGCAGTGCTCCATACACAGGAAATTATTCCGAGGTCCCGACCTCGGGTCTCAGCCCTGGAGCGAGCTCGTCTTTAGTGAAATATCCACCTGGGCATGGATTAGGGTGGGGGTCAGCTGCAAGGTTTCTATCCGAGTGGCGTGATCAGATAAATTGTATGATCAGATAACTTTTATGATATAGACCTTACGATCAGATAAATATTTCGATCAGATAAATTTTAATTAGAAAGTTTGGCTCCCGCGGTTTCCGTCGGGGGAAAGCTTGGCTTCTTGTCCAAGCTTTCTAGGCAAGGATTTGAAGTCCAAACGCCGAAAGATGGGTGGCATGTGTCGGTTATATCTGATTCACAATTAACCCTGTTCATCAAGCGTCTTACGCTTCTGACCTGTTTAGATTGTTCTTCTCTGTGTTCCAGAGGCCAAGGACCTGGTGAGGTTATTATTATTTTCCTTGTTAGAGACCCTTTTCTCGGTTATAACGGAAAAGCCTGGAGGAGCTTTTTCCCCTGGTTTCGCTTTCCTAGACGCGGTATCATCGGAGCGTGGCAGTCAAGGCAGCAACATTATATATTATCTGTCTACATGATTGGGTAGCGCTATGGCAAGTTGGGGCCCGTGAAAAAAAAAAGTCTCACTAGTGTAACTGCTTTCCACTTTAATGGTTTGGAAAGAGATTTCATTCTCCACAGTCTAGCCCAAGCCACGAAAGTATATGGAGTAAACAATAGCCATTTAGTATCGGCCACTCACAGTTGGGAGGAAAGGAGGAACTCTCAAGATTTCACACTTGGCGGGTAAGGCGGGCACATAGTAAAAGGTGTACGAGTGAACCCGGAAGGTCCGGCACGTGGATGAACATATACCACTGGATAAACCACTTGTTATGGAAATAATGGTCGGTTATAGGGACTGTATTCCACAGTTTTCAACTAGTATTGTCAAAAATGCCATCAAAAAATCACCAAAAGAAGGCAGACAGAAGTGGACTCCGAGGCTCCTCCTCATATACAAGCCTGAGAGCACACAGCCTTGTGATTCTGATATTAGAACAATATAGCGTATTCAAGGTTCAAGAATATGGACAAGTTGTAAAAGAAAATATTGAGATCAAAGAAAGTACGTATCTCCAGGTTAATCCTGAACAGGGGTCAGAGCAACCATTGTTCCGTTAGCGTTCGACAACGTCAATCCAAAATCCTCTGTCCAGGGGTTCGGATCCCGATTTTCGATTGCCGCAAATTGTTGCATAATCCTAGTAATAGTGTATCCAGCCTCCGTCAGTGCAAACTGTTGGCCTATGCAAATCCGCGGACCTCCATTGAAAGGGAGGTACGCCCAACCTGGCCTGAGCTTTTCCCATCTCTCAGGCCGGAATTCATCCGGATCGGGTCCATAGACTTCGTTTTCGCGGTGCATTGTGTATACCGTGTAGATAACCTCGTGACCCTTCGGTACGTGAACAGGGGACTTTCCATCCGGGCCACCGCCGACAGGAAGATATGTGTCTCTGTTGGCCTCGCGTACATTGAATGGGACGATTGGGTACATGCGCAAAGCTATATTTTATTTAGCAGACGCATAGTCAGAGGCAGAGGTAGTGCTACTTACTCTCGTTCAGAACCCAGGTCAGGTAAGTCATCGATTTGAGGTCGTCGAATGATGGCTTTCGTCCATCTAAAGTCAGCACTTCTTTTCGAAGTCTGTCCCACACATCAGGGTGTCTAGCCAAAATGAAGAATACAATGCTTAGTAGGCTGGCAGTGGTGTCGCGACCGGCAAACATAATACTCAATAGCTGGTCTGTTATGTTGGTCTTGTCAAGTGTTTGCTTCGACAGCTCGTAAGAGAACACATATCGACTTTCAATCAACCGTTCGATGCCTTGGTCAACTTCCCGCCCGCTGTTTGCTGCGACACGATAATCGATAGTCTTTTGCACAAACCTCTCAACATAGGCGCGGGCATCTCTAATGGATTTTATATATTCCTTCCTGCGGTAGAACCTCCCAAAAGACCCAAGTCGGAAGCGCATGGAAGTGACGTATTGGGCGACATCGAAGGCTTTCGCAAATTCACCTCCTGCAGAAGATCCTCCTGTGCGCAGCGAATGAGCGGATTCTCCGAACAGAAATTCGGTAGCGGTGTCGAGAGTCTGCTTTTGGTCAGTCGTATACTTCGGGAGATATGAAGAATGACAACGTACCCCCTTGAGAAACAGCGGGCGCAAATCAATGGTTGACCCGTCGCGCGGAATCTGCTCGATGAGCTCGGCAACGTGATTCTCATATAATTTAGTGTCGTTAATCCGAGTGCGCGAGAAGTTAGGCCTGAGGAGAGCCCGTGAATGTTCCCACTCGGCACCGTCCACGCCGAAAATGCCCTTGCCCATGAGTGGACGGAGTGCATCTAATCGAGCCGAGCCCACTCCGAAGTCTTTGAATTTCAGTGCGAGGGCTGTTTGAATGTTCTGCGGGTCTACGGTGAAAATGATATTTCGATTGGCAATTCTTGCTTTGAATGTCGTGCCATAGCTTCGATGCCAGCCGCGCAGAAGTTCAAGAAACCTGTGCTCGGGGCCGGCTGTGGCTAGTTGGATGCCCATGCCAATGCCAAACAAGCCGTGGGACACAAAGTGTGCTGGGGGTTGACAGCCGTTGTCACGAGCGTACTTCCATCCTGGGTGAGTCTTTAGCCTGAGTGTTAGTTCACTGTTGACGAGGAAGAGTTACATACTCCGAAAGGTTTGTACAATCCTCGCCAACGACCAAGTCATGACGACAGCCCCAGCCAGAAGGCCGTAAAAGGGAATCTGCAAGAGGTCAAAAGACACTGGTGCCATAGCTATGGTAGCTTGCAGTAAGTAAGAAACCTTGGGACTCTTAGCATGGAGACCCGGCTTGGGTCGATATTTGTACTTGAGCTATGTGTGTACATCAGCCGGCACCTAGTATGAAGGGTCGTGGCATATAGTCTGTTTTGCCCTTAGCGAGCGGGGTAAATCTATTGATTGGGGATCGGTTAATCTTTTCACATATTGCTAAATTGTAGTGCCCGCAGATTGGCCATAGCTGAGGGAGATCATTGGGCTCTTAACTCTGGAGCTTTAGATCCATTTGGACATAGAGCGAAGCACATCAACCTGCCAATGGACATGACTCGGGCTTGGATGATCAAGCCTTGCGTGAAGGTTGAAGATAATTCTGCCCGTCAAAAAGTGGGACTATGTAGCGCTGCAATATGCTAGATGCACAAAGGCGGGCCGCTAGGTGTGCTAGGCCGTATATCTGCAGGAAATCCTAAGGCTGTTCCCCGCTTGCATTAGTCCAGACATATTGCTAATTGCTTATTGGTTTGAGCACCTGAGCTTCGATACATGTGGAGGGATTTGCAGCAGATATACAATTCGAAAAGAGGAGACATGCGATGGCGTATCTGTTTCGCGTGAAGGGAAGCCTTCGTGTATGTTTTTTACCCTTTTGAAGCGAGTAACCATGACATTTTACGTTGCGAAGATGAAGGTTGGTGGGTTGTAATGAGTTGACACATGAAAACCTGAAAAATTCAAGGATAGATGGGTGTGTCCCATTAACAACCGGATTGGTGATCATGGCCTATACATGAAGAGTAGCGAATAAAAACTCCGAGGTTAGTGTGTTGTCAACCCGCTGCATGATATAACGTATCATAACGAGATTCAGTGAATAAGAATGCAAAGAGAAAAAGAAAAAGAAAACCATAAGAACTAACGATCACCTGTCAGAACCATGCATCCACTACAGCGGGTACCTCTGTATCGTCGCCTTGTTCCGCTTTTTTGGGGTTTGATGGTTTCAACGCAGGGATCTTTAGCGGGGTAGGAATCATGAATGGCACTAAAACGGTCTAGATGCAAATCCTTCCTGCTCAATCTTCGGAGAATTTGAGATGAGACTGACCAGCCCGTTGCAAGCTTTTAATAAAGTTGCGGCCGGAATTGTCGCTTGTGTCTCGTTTTTTTGAGGAGAACTAGTCGACAGACTCGACTTACTAATATATATCCCCAGTCCTTCTCACCTCCCAGCATTTTCTTGGAATCTGGTCCTCGATATGCATATCATAATGCCCGGAACGAGCGCCCCGGAGGTCATTTCCCATGGCCCCGGACGAAGTTTCGTCCCCAGGCCACATATAGAAAAGCGCGTCCCCGAGAGGGAAAAAGTGGAGACTGAAATTGACCCTAAGGAAACCCATTTTACTCAAAAGCAAGCGACCTGGTGCAGCGTGAAGTGTGCTAGCGTGCATATCATTAAAAATAGATTCAACCAAAAGTCCGAATGGAAGTCTCTGGGCCAGGTAGGCTGATGATAGTCTTTCATCATATCCTTTGTCATGGTCTCCCCTTCTCTTAAAAATCTCGACGCTATGTGGTTGACTTTGGCATCGATCGACACTCACATATGCACCTTCCCCTCATTTCACATGTCTTTGGACCTTTGGACCGACCATGTGTACATGTCATGAATCAAACCCTGAAGCCCAGCACTCAGATAGTATGTCCCCGTTTTTCTGCATTAACCCCCTAAGGGCCACACTGCAGGTCTGTGACCCGCCAATAGTAATGTCCAGCGACATCAGTACTTTCGTGACAATGTCGATTTGTCGGTCCCAGATCCCGTCCAGTGTCAAAAGCTGCGCGCCGTCTGATGTTGAATCATCACACTTAGAGTGAAGCTGCAGGTCTATCACACTCTCAATGGCCCGTTGAAGGGCTGTGACATGGTAAGCGGTAAGTGGGACTTGCGCACCTAGTCCATTTTGGAGGTTGGAAGCTTCCTCGGCGGGCAAGTTGAGTACGCATTCAACTACCTGTGCCACGCATGAGGCTGCATCGCCTGGTATTCGCGGAGAGTTGGGCCTATTTCTTGTTCAATAGAGGGATCGAGGTCCTTGGCCACCTTTTCGAAGACTTCGGCGAGAAGGAAAATGTCGAGGTTCCAAAATATCACGAGGGAAACTAAGGCATAGCCTGTCAGTGGGATACCAGTGATAGAATTACCAGACAAATGACAAATGACAATGACCGAATTGGTAGGAGTGTCGCTAGGCATCCTATGTGGAAAAGTCAGTGTTGTGAGACTCGAGATAGAAGGATAAGAATGGCTCAAGAAGGAAAGGATAGAGCAAGTGGGTAGGAAAGAGGCAGAACCATAAAAAGGAACCGTGAGGAAACAAATTCCTTTAGGAAGTCCTTTGGACAGCAGAGAGCTATCTCTGTGGAAAGATTCCCAAAATTGGGTCGAAGGAGATGAGAGCAGAGCCCCATCTGAGGTTGGTTCAGATCTCGTGACGGACAGTGGAGAGCCCGAGACAGTACAGTCTGTATTCGCTGTGGCGATGTAAAAGCGCCCATAGGGTCTCAAGGGAGGTCCCTAAGGGTTCCCTAAGAGGTCCTATAAGAGGTCCGCCAGGTTCGTTAGACCGGGACCGAGGTCTTGACCTAGTTTCAGACTTAACTGGACCGCATCAAAGACCCAGTCAGTGTCCTCAGGGTATCCTTCCTTTACTGGACAACAAGATACATACGTTGAATATGGATCTGAAGCTGAAGGTCAAAGAATTGAAGAGTGCTCAACAGGAACCACGATGTGCAATGTGGGCCTAGTCCATACATGTACAGGATTCTAGCATGGGATTGAGATTGTAGACTTGTTCAACCAGTGTTCGGGGCATTTTGGTAGAGGATGCAGCCATTCAGTTCCCGTGACAACAAAATAAACTGTCTTTATGGAGGTTAGAAACTCATCTACTGGTCCGCTTCTTTGTTCGGAATGTGTTCACGCTACCCCCGAGTCGCGTTTCTTTGATTCTATTTTTCTATTTTTCTTTGTATTTTTTTGACAGTACACAGTCGAATACACCTGGGCCAGGTCCGTTGTAGTCAATTATCTTCACTCCAAGGGCCCGGGGGGGGGGGGGGGGGGGGGGGACAAA